CATCAGTCGTGAGTGATATCTGAAACGGTCCTGTGCTGTCCTCTTCAACCTGCGCTGACCAGTGTGGTCAAGTCTGGTCAAAGAACCCTAAGGAATGACACGGCGTGGGGAGGCTTTTATTCAACAGTGGATCAACCATGGGCTATGATTATTTTTTTGTCGTCTGCATTTCCCCCACCAGATCTGTGCAGGATAAATATGGATACCTTGGGCTTTCTTACTGTATTTGCACTGCGTGTGCAGCGTGTTAGATGAGATTTAAAATATATATACAATTCCTGAGCACAGGCCCCAAGGCTTAAAACGTAAAGCACCCAGTAACAAACGGCGCCATCAAAGTTGTAAAGGAAAAGAGTGAACAGACCTGGGGAACTTTACCCAGCAGTTTGTGGGAGATTTTTGCCACAGAAACGAGCAGTACTGCACCATGACATGTCGCCATGCTCTAGCGCTGTTTTCTGCATCTTGAAACAAAACAAAAAAGGACAAAACCCTCGCTTTTTTGCTTCTGCAAAAATCCCAAGCCCTTCAGGGGTTGCATTTTGCTTGACAAGTCACCGCACCGGAAGGGACGTTTCTATTGCCGCGTGCTTTGTTCAGCGCACTTGCCAAGGCAATACGCGGAGTCCTGGGACGAGGCTAAAGCAGCGGATGCGAGAATCTGTGCGTCTACGGTTGAGCATGCGTGAATGGGAACATAGGATGCAGTGCTCTACTGCCATTGTGCTGAACGAAACATAACAAAATATCGGCTCGGGATGTAAGAGGAGAGAATGCGTTCTTTAATGTGTTTAGTCTCTGTGATTGTTTTTGCATTCGTGCTATCAGCATCATGTCAGGAGACGAAATGTCCATTTTCATCTCTCGCAGAGCAGCTGCATCACCCGATGTTAGCGAACGGTATTTCACAGAACTACTGCTGAGTATCAACGTGACCTCTGGTCTACACACCCTGGCTCGTAACAGCAATTTATCTTACAGCAGTTGTTAAAAATATGCCACATGACTCAGGCAGCAAAGGTGTAAATGTGAGTGCTTTTTTCTTACAAAAATCTGGATTGGTATGGACATTAAATATAAAACAATGATGTCATTATAATGTCATATGTATTCATAATTCACAGCCCTTTGCCAACCCACTGCTGAATGAACGCCTCCCCATGCCTTCAAATGACCGGTTTTCACTCACACACTCGGCAGAGTCTGCTATGCAGAAATGATCTCGCATGGCAGTCAAAATCATATTTTTCATTCTCAGAGCTGTAAAATAAAATATACTATCATGGCTTTTCATGCAGTCACCGGTGGCCGAGTTGTGACCTCGCGCTTTGCTCGAGCATTGAGTCGAATCGTAGGCGGCTCAATCCTCGACTTGAGCCTGGGACCTGAGTGCTGCTGGCTCGGTGCTGGCTCGGTGCTGGCTCGGTGCTGGCTCGGTACTGGCTCGGTACTGGCTCGGTGCTGGCTCGGTGCTCTCTCCCCCGAGCCACTGGACCCATCACATATGTCTGCGAGTGCCTCTTTTCATCAGCATTGCATCAATACAAGGAAACGTTGGACCGTTTTCAACATGCAGTATCTCATCAGCAGTCAGGGTTGCTGGAACCAATGTTGGTGAATTGCCCATTCACAAGGAAAGTATGCACTCCCAGAAGGTGGTGGTGGACAGGAAGTGTAAAAAAAAACTTTTTTTACGTGGATGGACATATATGGGAAGGAGATGTATTGTCTGCTTATTTGTTTGGTTACATTCTCCACAATGACGCAAATTATTATTTAAAGGTTAGGAGTAGACGACGTGGGTTTGATAATATTCCAAAATCCTGGAATGTGGTAAACAGATGGAGGGAGGTTTGTGAAGCCATCTGCAATGGGCTGACCCTTGTTTGTTACCTCTGAAGCTTTGAGACAATATTCAATGGTCATTGAATCTGTAAAGCCAAGGAGGACTCGAGCCTGGCTTCGCCCTTCAACTCTTGCAGGAGCTGGAAGTACAGCATTGGGCTGCATCACGTATAGATTGAATTAATGGGGTGTCTGTGGATCGAATCTATCTGTGCGGAAATCAGGGCATCACCCATGAATATTCACGGGATTTACTTGTATGCTGAGGCTTCTCATTTTACTCATTCATGGAATTATCTAAATATTCAACTGCATGTCCACTAAAATAGAGGCTTGAGACTTCGAGATTTTCTTCAGTAAATAATTGATATTCGAGTATTGAAAGTAAATTATTGGCATTTTTGTTTGAAATTTCTCCAGGTAATCAAAGGCATTTAAAGACGGCATTAACCTGACTTACTTATGCAGGAGCCTCGTGAAAATTTTTGTGTTGAGCCTCAGGGAGGCTTTCCTGGATAGACCGTTGGCATTGTTATCTCAGTGTGCACCTGTGGGCATTGAATCTTCCTTTGTCACACCTCAGGCCAGAGTGGAATTGGTGTCCGTTCCCAGTAACTGACATTGTTAATCACCACGTTCATTCAATAAAGAACAAGACCATTCCGTAGTTCTGGTCGAAATTTATACCTCACTATTAAATTAGTTTTATCTTCAAATATCTTCAAAATATCATCCATCTTAGACATATATTAGACTTTATTGTTTTTATAACAAATATGGCCCTGCAGACCACCATATCTCATGTACAGCAAAAACACAAGACAAAGATCTCCATATAGCCTTAACAGACTGTTGGGGCAAGTGTTGTTCGCGAGCACCTAAGAAGGCCGGAACGTTACACGAGGGGGTGGGTGGCCAGCACCACTGCTCCCCACACACACAAACAAATACAAACACAACAACAACCTCCATTCGTCACTAAGTGACGGTGACGTCACCACGGCGCTTGTGCCAAGTTATGTGCACGTTAAGGCCACGTGAAGTGTCGAACACGCATTGACAAGAGGTCACGGGGCAGACCCAGGTGCCATGGCTTGACTGACTGAGATGACTGGCACACACACAAACACACGCACACTTTATGACATCCTTTGTATATTTTACCACTGATGGTACGATGGCGTAATTGCAAATTGGCATCACGGCAGTCGGCGAGATTTGCCGGCCGTGGCATCCAACATCGGTCTCGGAAGTGTCAATCACCGGCTCCCCGGGTGCCGTGCCCAGCTCTGCCCTGAGAAGGCGTTTGTTTGGCTGTCACTCGATATATACTTCAACTTCAATATGCAGCCTCAAATGAATATGGATATGGCACTTTGTGTGTTTATTTTAAATACAATGCTGGCTTATCACTCACGAAGGAGATTTCCTTCAAAAAGCACCGACAGACTGAAGCAAAGCCGTACACCCAGCAAGGGCCGGGGTGCACCGTCACTGCTTGAGTCGGCTAATTGACACGAGAAGCACTTAAATGCCGACAAATCATGCCGCGTGGTGCGGTGCGTAGCGGTATTCGTCTCGTGGCAAGCACGGCGCCTGCTACTGTCAAGCCAGGGTTTTCCTGTTTCCCTAGATCTTCCCGCGATGACGGCTCCTGTCAAATACCGTGACAGGAGTGCCCAGGCACTGTGAGGGTGCCGTAATTGCCTTGTCGACGGTGCCTGTGATGTACGGGGGGCCCTGGAAGTGGAGGAAATGTCAGTTTTTGCGACTGCATGAGGAATGAGATCATTAAGTCAGCTGGGCGTGTGTTTATTGTGGCTCGCTTAGGCGTGGGAGATCATAAATGTCCCTCGGTTGACGACCCAGCACTTTCAAAGTCTACAGCGGCATCTTTAGGACTTGTGCAGGTGAAAGGATCTTCCTGGGAGACACCGAAGCCAAGTGGATTTGAGCAGTCGGGGAGGGTGGTGCAAAGAATGTGCATCCACCGTAACCCCCAGAGGAAAACCGCCCACCGCAGCTTCTTGGAGTGAACTCCATGTCTCCTGAGCCCACATGTCTGGCTTAATTCTGAAAATCATGTAACCCATTATGTGAATTGTAAGCCTCGCCTTGACCCATTCCATTTGTGCCGATACCATCTACAGAACCCTGGCAGCTTTCCCTGAAATTGCTTCGAGCCCTAATTGTTTGGTAATCTCCCAGTTAGTCTGTGTGCTTCACCGCTCATTGCCCTTCATTCCACTCTCATCATCTGATAAATACATCTTTGTATCCAATGTCTGATCACAGTGCCAGCTACTTTCATTATCTGGTTAACTACCCAGATTAAAAACTCAGTAAGAATAACAACAATGTTAGTATAATAGCCTGTATAATTATACACCATAGAATATAATTCTCATACTAAATGTCATCACTATTCAATTATGTATTGATTTCCTTGTGTAAAAGTAAAGAGCGTTATAATTACTGGTTATTGACCAGGCAGGGTGTACTGTTGCAGTGGTAGCGCACCTGTGCAATGACCAAGTCCATCGAGTCTGACTCCTATCTATGGCTAAGGTCAGTGGCGAGTGATTTATGAGATGGTCCTCGGCCCTCCCCCTTCATCCAATAATTTGCACTACCACCAGTGTGGTAAAGATAACCATTTGCATCTTTGTGGAGAATATATCTCTTTCATATATCTGTCCTGCCACTTCCTGTCAACCGCAAGGCCCTCTGGGAGTGCGTAATTTATATGCAGAAATAGTGTGATAAATTATGATCGAACAACTCCCATGTAAATTATAATTATTATGACTAGGCGAATAATAATGCAAATAACGGATGATGATGATGATATGCTATCCATTATTGCTCACTTAATGGCAAAGCACGTATTACTTGCGATTGATGTTAGCCATGGCTGATAATCAAACACCACTATCACCGTTCAACCACTGCCAAAGTGACACTGTGTTACATTGTAAATTATCTTGCTTCTGAGCAGTGGTTGCCGTTATTTAATCAAGAGAAAGACGTCGAGTGAGGGAGTGGAATACTGGGTGTTCTGCCAGGGCAAAACGGACCACAGGACACATTGCGTGCATTTTGTTATCGCGCTCACAAATTTTTGCTCCAAATGTTTTGTTTGTATCTTTTTGTAGGAAACCGTTACATAAGGAGGAGAATGGAGGGAACCAGGCTGAGTCTGCAGCTCCAATGCCAGATGACAAAACTACTGAAGCCAACAACACTGTAGCTTGACCAGAAGAGAGAAAATCACACGAAACAAAAGTCAAAGGACAATGATAAGGATTCGCCACAATAGCCTTGTCATCTAGGACGCTTAGATGCCCTTTCGCACTTACGAGAGCCCGTCAAGGAAGGCATTTCCCGAGGGCTGACATTCTGACGAATGGTGCAAATACGCATGCGAGTTGAAGAAATGTCAAGGATGAATTCTGCAGACCGAGCGTACAGTGTATAAATCATTCAAACGACTCCGTGCCAAGCTTTCCCATCCTCAGAACAGGCCGACGTATTTTGCCTCCCGCTTAATATATGAAAGTGGCCCTGAGTTGTCATTATTTATGCGCTGTCAAGCCTGCGGAAATACCCCTCGTTTTCTTTTTAGCAGAGTTATAAATAATGATTTAATTTCGTCACGTTTCCACTTGAGTTCTTCCAATATAAGTTCACGGTGATTCAAATGCCTCCTTAGATGTTTTTTTCCCAATCACAAGTCTGATTACATAGTGAAATAATTTCCAACTGAAATCTTGCTTGAGCATGTTTGGCCCATAAACCATAACTTGTGTTTGGCAAAGAGCTGAATTGTGAGACTGTATTTTCCCGTGGCCGATGAGTGTTAAGGAAGGAGAGTGCTTGCCAATGATCTGTTGCAAAAGTGATGATTTCATTCTCCATTTCCTGATGTGCTCACACATGTCTGGGTGAATACTTTTAGAATGCATGTGCTTAGGGTCACCACTCACCATGGGACTTGAAATAGTTCCTGACCTTTCCCAGTTGATTTCATGAAAATGAGATATGACTACAATAACAAGCATGCGAGACATCGTATATAGTTTGTCATAATCTTTTTCATTTGCTAGCTATGAGCATTTTAAACAATTTTTGCTCACTTACTGAAAACACAGTGGGCCTGCCTTTTAAAAGTTTGCCTAAAAGAAACATTTACAAAAAATAAATTCCGCTAACAATCGGGTTGATGAGTCTCGCTTCTCACAAGGGGCAACAAAGGGAGATTGACATTCAAGGCTGCGAGCGTGCACATTGAGAATCGCATGTTGAGTCAGAAGCGATAATAATATATGAATATTCAAACGTGGCAGACCACTGCTGAATGAAGGCCCCCCTCATGCCAATATTGGTGACGGGAGTTGTTTGAACCAGACTTCACAACGCCGGTCGATGCGAGTTGGCCAAGAGAGGAGGGGACTTAGGTCGGGTTCAGATCGCCACTACCGATGATCGCCATGGTGGGGAATCAATCGCAGGCTGCCGGCTTCACCGTTGCAGCACGCGAGTCGCTGCGCCGCTGCTCCGACGTCGTGGGTATGCGTACGTATTTGTGAGCCTGTGTGTGTGTGTGTACTTAGAAACCGTGTGTGCGTCGGTGTCACTGAAACGCGTTCCTATTGTAACACAAAGCTAAAGTTGTGCCTCCCCTGCCAACTGCTCTGAAAATCAAGGTGAAATTTTGTTTTACGATGGGAGGAAAGCGCCAACAATTTGTTTGCCGGTGCTCACCCGATATTCTGAAGGTGAGCTTGCTGAAATGTTACTTACGTCTCTTTCCATTTCGGAGAAAAAGAAAGCTCATAATTTGTCTCTATCCTTTGTATGACTGCTGGAGTAGCTGCAATTGCGAGGAATGCATCATGAGTGAAGTACAATGTCACATTTCCGACTTGCTTGGAACTGAAATAATGGTTGCCACCTGCGCAGACAGTTTGGGAATTGGCGTCTGTGTGTTTGTGGCAGGAATTGATTTGCACTGATATCTGGTGGTGTTGTGTTGAACTTTATTTACAGTAGACTGCACAGAGCTGATAGTAACAGACTGACCGACAAATATACCCGGGTTTGGTCTGTGGAAAAGGTGACAGCCCTCGATCAGAACATCTACGTAAAATTACAGGATATTGGACAAATATACAACTCAAGACTGCTTTAAGTACGCTTAACTGTGGCTTTATAAGCGGGTGTGCGCGAGATTAACGATACATGTCAAGTGATTTATTGCTCGAATCAGCATTGAGGCGCTGTTCATCTCCTTTTGAGAGCCCTAAACGCAAATGATGGAAATTCCACATTCCTATGATGGGGGTGAGTTTCTCCATCGGACAACTGCTGTTGACTTTCACACAAAGTGGTACTCGTATTAATTACCCTGGATGGATTTGTGAACATCTTTAGAGAAGGACTGTCACACCAAGTACAAACATTTCATTGGGTGTGGGCGGTTAATTGGTCAGATATGCGACGAGGAACTGTACCCAAGATTGCCACTATTTCACCAAACCTGGACATTTCTCAGCACGAGGTATATAATTCAACAAAACAAACCCAGTCCCAGATCTCGGTACAAATCAGTTCCTACCATCCGAACACAGATGCCAACCCAAACGGTACTTGAGTATTTGTGTAATGTCCTGCATTGTAATTGTGCCATGACGCAAAGTTTAACAATGGAGACGGCGCGGTGGTTCTGGGTGGGGTCGGGTCCTGAGGTCCATGGACCTCGTGGAGGAGCTCATCCACTCGAGGTGTGCAAAGCCACGCAGGGAACCCCCGGCTCTATTCGTGTTTACAACGGAAATGCAATCTGGAACGTGGTGCGGTCTTAATGTTCAACCTCAACGTATATATTTATCCACTTAATGTACATTTGCCAAACATGTACATGATAACTTTATACAATTCATTAGAGGAAATGCTCATTGTAAATTGTGTAAAGTATTCATTTTTTTCAAAGCTAATGTGGCAAGAAATTTTCAAACATTATTTATATACTAAAACTCTACACAATCTTTACAGTTTATACTGTATAAAGCAACAGCTTGTTAATTGTGATTAGATTTTTTTTTTATTTTAACTTGGCAATATCATTTTTATGTTTTGAGATCTTTTCTCCCATATCCGATACCTTGTACAGCATATTTGACTCGTGTTGACTCCCACTAATGATACGTTGAGACATACACAGCTGGGCTATTTAGAAAATTTCACATCTTGTAAAGGACAACAACAGACAGCTTTACAATTACAAATAAACGCAGTGACGCTTTAACACTTCTATATCCCTAACATAATTGTATAAAGGGTTCTACAGTAATTGCAAAGGTGGCATTGTACGCAATAATCTGTATAGCATTCACTGCTGAATGTATGAAGGCTGTTTTAAAATAGACAGCGAAAATATTAAGCAGAATAACTGTTGTGCGTGTGAACATATTTAATATTTACTGAATATATGGCCAAATAATATATGGGTCTCAGTTCTTTGATGGACAGCTTTGTCTTAATCAACCTATCGTTTTGAAGCAATATGCAACAATATGCTATGTTTAAATGTACACGTTCAGCACTTATGAATAATTAACACGTATCATTGTTCAAACGATGAAAAAAGCCATACTTGTCCTTCTTTAGCAAGAAAAATCGAACGTATCATGATGGAACTTTTAACTCGTCGCAATGTTTGTACACGCTAAATATATGTAACCAACCGCAGAGGTGATCTGTCACGGGTGTCTGTCCATCGCTAGCTGGAACACAACTCACGCTCCATGTATGGAATATGCACAAAGGTGCTTTATGCTTTTTTATACCTTTTTTTGCAGCATAACTTAAGCCATTTTTTTTTACTTTTCGTTGAATATCATAAATGCCTGCCTGTAAATATGTTCAAAGAAAACTGTAAAGCAATGTATACTATCAGATCTTTATCGTGTGTAAATTAAAATGAGGCATTACCTTAATGTGAGATTCTGCTGGTAGTATTTCACTTTAGTTGTCCCACATACAACACGGTTCTGCCTTTTGACTTCAACGGCCTGGTTACATCCGTGAACATGAAATGTTAAGAAAATGCCACAAGCAAGAATGAGCTTTGTACCACATCATCATCATCATCATCGCTGCTGGATGAAGATATCCCAAACGTCGTGAAGCATCTCCCATGGGGCTGCGATGTAACACTCCACATTGAACACCTGCGCCTCAACTGATTCCATCGCTCCATCTTACAAGTGACCGTCCTCTCAGGCGCATTCCCTCCTTGCCTGTCACTGTCGCTGCTCTTTCCCTGGCCATCAACCCTTTGAGTGATGTGTGCCGCCTAGGTCCACCTACTCTCTTTGTCGATCACTACCATGCGTCTAACTTGCACGTGATCTCTCATCCACGCTCCTCTTTCTGTCTCGCCGTGTGATTCTCTATGATTTGGGTGCGCTTTTTAGCTCTTGTTACATTTTCTTGATAAAAATAGATACATTTTATTACGGTGCAGCAATAACTCATGCACTATTAATAGTTAATATTGATAAGATACGTAACAGATTAACTCACTGCAAATACTCAAAATGTAATGCATGAACCACACTGGGCATATATCATCTGCCATTGATTGTGCGTTCCATAGAAGCGGATTAAACATTTGATCATAACTTATAAGAATTATTACATAATTACGTTCTCTGAAGAGTGAACTTTGTTGAAAATAATAACGTATTAGTGTTACTACTATTAGGACAAACCAATGGACACGTTGATGCAGGCTGCGAGGCGCTCTCGTCAAACTCTGCCAGGACGAGGTTGCGGTGAGCCCCCTGCGCTCGCCGCAACATTTCCACTGCTGCATCATCGCTCACTCCGGGCTTTCAATGAGCCCTCTGCTTTAAGCCAACTTCTGCCCCCAGAGGGAACGTAAACTACAAAACATAGATCACCGGGTTTTCATATCGCACATTATTGCAATCATGTTTACTGATTTATTTAGAAAAAGACCATCAATTGGCAGTACTCATTTATTCAAAAACATACATCACCACTTGCTCTCGACAATTTCCTTCTTGAACTCTCAAGCAATGAAAATGAATCTCGCTGGGGAGCCAGAGTCAATATCTGTAGGGGGATGTCTGCAATTACAGGACTGGAGAGAGAAACGCTCCCAAATTAGAACGCCGCACACACGCACAGACAACGCGCGGTAACAAATGGACTGTCCTTGCAGATGCAATTTATGTGATTTAGGAGCGTCTTGGCTTGTTTGGTGCTTTTTGCGAGATTGAGTTTCCCCACGACTCACAGATGATCGATAATACTCTCATGTCTGTGCCACCGCGAGACATCCATCACAATTGCAGCTACATGTTAATGGATCCTTCAGTAATTGCAAGAACCCAATTCCACTGGGTTGTGTTTTTTTGGTATTCTCAGTAGTAGACGTATTCCAGAAAGAGCCTGCATGATGTGGATAACATTCCGAAAAGGAAAACACGACATTGTGGGAACTCATGTGAATTGATTCAGACCCCTGAATGTGGCACAGATATACATTAGATGTTTTGTGCGCTGTTTGAAGAGTTTACTTTGTTGAAAAGTGCAACGTCCTTTTATTGCAACCTCACAGAGTAACGGGTTTCTGACATACCTAAAATAAAGGTTTACCAGTATGTTCACAAGAGACCTAATACAGTGTTAAAAATTTTATACATTAAAAAACATATATTAAGCAATATTGTTGGTGTGTGTTACCCTTTTCCCAAATTATATCATCAGATTATTATTTAATGCGTTTTGCTCTCAATACATTTGTGACACTAATTGAGGAAAATATTCCAAATACAATATAAGAATATATTCTCTAAAACGTACCTGTTAATCCTCTACGTTGTCTCATACCTCTTGTTGTAGAACAATAGTAAGCAATGTAACGTCATGGACACTTTATATGTTGAATTAACTGGGTAAACCTCCTATATAAATGCTGCTCCACCACAACCGCCAAAAGTATTTTGTAGACCTGGGATGCCACGTGTCCTCGGAGCTCTCGGAGTGGAGGTTCATAGAAAACTGTCGCCGCCCATGCTCCTCCCGACCATCCCCACCACTCTCTTGCTCCTCACCACCATCCCCACCACTCAGTGTGGCTCTGTGCTCACCCACAAGAGGCACGCATACCCACCGAGCAAAGTCAAAAGGCTGTCCCATTGATGGAGGCCACCCAGCCAGAGCACCCAGCCAGCAGCAAGTCGTGAGGGTCTCCTGCACCACAGCTGCCTTCAACTTGGCACTGCCAGGCACACGCTGCACTACGCGTGGCCCAAATCCCCCGTGTGTGGCTGTTTGTGCCCTGCTCCACTTTGGGCCCCACCATAGCTATGTGGGCTCTCCGTGGTAAATAACAGGGAGTTTTTTTTTATTGACACCACTTATACCCTCGACCTCCCCCGCCCCGCCTGGAGAAAGCTATGGCCAAGATCCAAAAATCAAAGGTGAAAACTTCAACCGGTGGCAGTCATTGCCGTGGGTGTAGACGGCGTTGTAACGCAACAGTGGTACTGGCTGCATGCATAAGTTTGGTGGCCAAGCAAGGGAGCACGCGCAGCCCTAAGTCATAGATCAATCATGCATGTAGATCGAAAGCTGTTCGGGGAATATCGTTTAATAAAAAGAAATAGTTTTTTTGACATTTTTTTTAACGCAACAAATTAAAAGCAATGACATGATAACCAGAATAAGCCGTGAACCACACAGTCTTTGTAGTGTAACGGGTAGCATGGCTACATCTAAAGCTGATGATTCAAGTTCAAATCAGTTTTTTTTTGCTAATTTACAAATTATGCGATGCCATAATGGAGTGCCCAGTGAGATCACTACGCCACGTAAAGCCCTCGTGAATATATAAATATATATTTTAATGAAACAGGCGGGAAGTAGATTATAATTTTGTATGGTTTGTAAGAAAATATTGCAACTGAAACAATGTTCAAACTTCGATGATGTAATAGCTGGAAAATTATTTACATCTGAGACCCCACCGTGGTGTAATGGATATCATGATTGCCTCTGAATTTGACGGATCTTGGTTCAAATCCCGCAGTAGACTTTTGCTGATATAATAATTACACGATGACGTCACTGCCTGCATTAACACAGCCACGAGCTCGCAGTGCAATCACTGCACCAGGCCGAGCCCTAGGTCTGTGGGGGAAGATTCGGTGGCGCAAGGCGATGAGAGGCAGCCTGAGAGTCTGAAGCCTAACTATGTTCGAACCCCGGCAAGGGTGAGTTGAGTGATGCATAAACGCGAATGCGCAAATTAAACACTATGTGAAAGTGAAATGCCTGCTGCTGAATAAACTAACGTGTGTGAGTGCAGGCCGAGATGATGAGACGGAGACCACGACGAAGAGACCTGGACCAGTTGTGGAGGAAACCTGGGACAACAGCGAAGTGAGCCGCAAGCGAGAGAGGAGAATAGTTGTTTTTATTGCATGGCAAAGGAAGGATTCGTTTTCACTACTCGGGGCGCTGTTCTGCCAATAGCGGAGCGCTGTTCTATGGACATTATCATTAAAAGTGTAACTTTATTTGAAATAAAAGCATATACACCGGATTTTCTAAATGTTGCACCTTTAAAGCCTTGATTTTTGCAAAATCACGATAAAAAGTGCCCACAAGCCTCACCAAGTAATGTCACAACGGTAAAAATAGCAATTTACATCCAAACAGGAACAACAGTAATTGATAGAATTTGGCATTAAATTGCAGATATTACCACAATTATTTTTTACAACAAAATACATAAAACACAATGTAACTAAAACAAATACCGTTAAATATTACCAAACCAACTAAATCTTAGCTGTTTAAAGATTTAAACCTCACAACGCGGTAAGCAGTGGTGAAGTATGGTTAAGTTACTCCCATGACCCGCACACACACTGCACAAGTTCCTCATCTAGCAGTGGATTACCAAAAGCTGTGCATACAGCAACCAGGAACGGGTTCCAACTGAGCGAAACGTCATCAAACCAATGACATCCATCTCACGTAAATCTTCAAAAACCATTAGGTCACTGGTAATGTTTGTTTGACATCAAAATACGACGAAATGCGGGACTTTCCAGAAAAAAAAACAATGGTGTCTAACATGCAACATATACCCATACATGTGAAATCCCCTTGTGAAAATCACAGCAAGTGAACATTAATAAACCATTCTCTCTCCCACCTCTCACCTCACTCCACTCCCCTCACCGTGCTCTCCGCTCCAGCAACCCAAGGTTGTCCTCCAACCCCCAGTGAAGCTCCCCTCGATGGGAGTTCGCTGCTCCTCGTCACCCACGCCCGCCCGCCTTGAGAGTAGAGGCCGACCGAAATTCGGTTTCGGCGCCGAAAGTTGGCAAATGGCCTCTTTCGGCATACTTTCGGTTTCGTCTGAAAGTCAATTTTTAACTTTCGGTCTGGTTTCGTTTTCTGCCGTCAACCGAAGATCTATTTGTAGAATATAACGCTAGTGCTACGTCTATCACTCTGCCTATCGGCCGGTCAGTCGGCGCCACCCGGCGCTCCGCTCGTTGTTGTGAGCGTCGCTCCTCCGCCCTCCGTTGTTGTTGGAGGGCGACTGCCTCCAACTACCCAGTAGCAGCGTCCTTCACGAGCCTCCTCCACAGAGGCCGATCTTGACACCGCTGGTACCAGTCATCGGCAAGTCCACAAACACACACACAAACACACACACGTCAGCAGCAGCAGCAGCTTGGGAGCGAGGTCACAGCCGCAACCATGGTCTGCTAATGTCAACAGACGGCAGCCTGCATCTGCATCCGTGGGCGCAGCAACCTGCTGGGCGAGAATGCGGAAAAACTACAACATTCGTTTGTTTGGATATAATTACTAAGTAAGCCATACCTAAAGATTTGATATTTAGCTTCTCTTTCTGCAGGCTCTGAATGATTAGTTCTATATTTATTTTTA